GGTCACTACATTTCTTTTAAATTGACCTAATCTTTCTAGGTTCACCATAGCCCTGGGGTCGACTCAGCCTGTAACAGAAATGAGCACCAGGAATCTTCTTGAGGGTAAAGGGCGGCCTGCGCGTAAGGTTGACAACCTCACCGCCATCTGTGAACCGATTGTCTAGAAAATGTGGGAACCTCGACGACTCACAACCCAATGGACCTTCATGGCCTGTTACAGGGATAGCTTTACCTACAGCTTTATGCAAGGAACTGTCCTCACAGCCCTGTTTTCACTCCTAGTTTCACCATGACCACACTCTTCAGAACTCACAGTGTTTCAGCTGAGTTGTTACTTTTGCCAAGAGGTAGAAATTTTTCTTTTTCCCTGAAGAAGTGGTAAGAGTTTTTTCCGAAACACTGACATCTTTTTGCCAAAATATACGGTGCCACGTCCCAGAAAACCACAATGCTATTTATATACGTTTATCACTGCAAGAAACATTTATTTGCCCGAAACCGAGACGACAAGGATTTGCAGAATAGAGTGCCCGGTTTGAATCTCGCCGAACCATTCAGCGCCCTGACTGAAGTTGATGTTGATTCTTCTCAAGAAAGACCCTAAAGATGGAGGTGGCGCATGAAAATTTCCAAGTGATCAATGCTGGATAAAATATAACTGTTTTGTACTGTAATGAAAACGACAGAAACTAATAGACCAAAACCAAAAACTTACACACAAAAAATTATTTCCGCGAAGGAAGAAAAAATAATTCCATCAAAACAATAAATATAAATCTATAGAGCTCATTTTAAACGTCGGCAATACTGCCCATAGTCAATCAGTTCAAAGGCCCAAGAACCAAATTAATATCAACAATAAATTACCACAAAAACATAAAATATATAATTCAGATTTATCGTGGTTTTCTTCAGACCCTCCAGGCAAATTCTGAAATAGCACCTTAAATTAGAACACGACAAATTATTTCCACACCCTTTCACAATTAACAAAATAATTCAGTCATTCAGTATCACATAATCTTAGCTAGTAGCGGAGCGCTCACATAAACTAAAGTCTATCCACTCTATGAACATGGCATGTCGTGCCTTGCGCATGCGTCCTTACGGAAGAGAAGTCGTAGGATAAACATGCCTGGATTTCTCACCGGTTTATGAATAACGAAAGCAGGTTAAAATCAGATCAAATAACTTCCTAATGATGACGTAATATTCTACGTCACTAACTGCAAATGATCCACACTTTTCACACGGTAGATGGAGCATACAAAGAGATAAATTGGAGTTCTGTTTCATCACTAAAATTCCATGTATTCTACATTTTGATATCAGCAGATAAAAGAAATTATGTGTAGGGTGAAAAACGGACGCTGCTCTTGGTACGTACAGCACGAGATGTACAGTTAAAACGTCGTTAAATATGCAAAACATTTTCTGTCATCTTGTGTTTTCTAGACAACAAGTGGAGAAATACGACTATGTTCTAGAAGAATGCTGAGAATTTTAATATAGTAGCTAAACCCAGTTTGCAAATAGAAACAATGTGGGAATTGTCGAAATTCTAGCAATGCCTGCGAGAGTGCCCTGTAGTGAAAACACTGACAACACGTTGACATGTAAACAGAAAAAAAAGATAGAATGACAGCGTGTAGGAGGTGAATAATGAAAGAAAATGCGTGACAGTAGAACAAGTCCATACATATTTTGCAAAAGGGAATACATTCCCGATTCGTGAAGTCTAACCATTCTCGGGTTTGTTGACAACACATAATTCAAATTTACTCATGTTTTTTTTTAAATCGATAAATATAAATAGTCCTATTCAGGGACAAATCGTTACAATAACGGTATAACGGAGAGATAGGAGCTCTGAAAATAAGATATTAGTGGTTACGACAGCAATAAATTGTCGGTCGTTAACACGTTACATGAACATAAATCATGTAATAGGTCACGAACAAGGAAGTAGTTCTTTGTTTAAAAGTATCGTGTCTATTCTGTGAGTATTAATAATACTGTCACGTGTATGATTGTGACTATAGACGGGTTTCGGATTGATGACCGGACTTTTTGGGCTTTTAATACAGCGCGTGTCTACAAGCAATGATTATGCTGTCACTGTTCTATACATTACCCAAATCACTATAGGACACACTACGTCTTCTGTTCCTTTTTTTATTGCTAGTGGGGTGGGACTAAGTCCTTTGTACTGCGGCCACTTCTGGCCGTACCAGCGCCAGATGATAGGTGAGGGTGATTGTGGAGCAATTGCTGGAATGAAGATTGGCAGGGGAAACCGAAATATTCGGAGTAACCTGCCCCAGGGCCACTTTGTCCACCACAAATCCCACTTTACCAGACCCGAGATCGAACCCGGGCAGCCGCGATGAATAGCCAGCGACTAACCGCTTGAGCTATGGCGCGGCCCTTCCCAGTCTGTTACTGGCTTTACTAGCTACTGCTTGGTAGCAGTTTTCAAGGACGGACTTTCCACTTTCTCCTTTTTTTTTTTCTTAATGGGGGGTGGAGTCCAACTAGGTCCACTCGGCACGGTGGCCACTGATTGGCCTAATGTAGCCTGCCCCGGGTGATTATGATGACGGAGAATTTGGTGGAATGAAGATTGGCAGGGGAAACCGAAGTATTCGGAGAAAACCCGCCCCAGCGCCACTTTGTCTACCACAGATCACACTTGACCAGACCCGCGATCGAACCCCGGCCGCCGCGGTGGGAATTCCCCTTCCTCTTGGTTCCCGAACTGTCCCCGACCTCAGCTACCAGCTTATAACAGCAACAGCTCACAACAACTGAGTTCCGACATTGCTCTAATGGAATCACTAATTTGGGAGATGCTGTTGGAATGGGTCCTAGACGTATCATTTGATAACATACAGGACTACAAAGGAATATGGGAGAAATTAGGGGAAGTTAACAGCACGAATGCTTACATAACAAGTGATGAGACATTCCGTTAAATTCCCTATGGAATTTAGGCTAGTACAATATAAAATATACATTTTCAATTAACAAACAGTAGAAATAGTAACATTTCGCAATATACAGCCGGAAATAATTCCCCCCCCCACTCGCTAATGAATAATAAACATTGTTTTCAATACTGACTAAATACGGGAAGTGGATGATGGTTACGTAACACTTTGCCTACAAGCGACAACTTATAGCTATGTACACAGTAGACTGTTTCATCATGCTGTGTGGGCGAACAGAGGTATAGAATATTTGCATTGCATGAAATATATTCTCTCAATCGATTTCACAAACTGGGGGACATGTTTGGGCGTGCAGTGGGCATCAGTCTTCTTCCCGATAAACACATACATCCACGCCGCATATGAGATTTCCCTACAGTCCAGACAGCATCAACTGTTACTAAATGTATATACACAGGGCAACCAATACGCTTATTAACATAGAGTGTTTAGCGTTTAGTTCATGAAACGTAAATAAATTACTTTCTCTTTCTGAACAGTTCAATCAATAATAACATTCACGACAAACTCCATGGCCTTTAGTCCGGAAGCGCACTATACCGATCGAGCGACCGCCACTTGTTGGCGAAGTTAGTGCCAACTTTTGAGGATAGAGGGTGTTGCGTGGTCAGAGCAACGGATCCCCACCGCCGTTAATCTCGGTTTTCTAGACTGGAACCGCTATTTCCTTGAAACAGCTCCTCAATTATCCTCACGATACTGAGTGGACTCCGTTCTAGACCCGCTACTCAACAAATGTGGTAACGCTGGGAAACTATAGTCAGGAACTCTGACCACTAGACCACAGAAGCAGTCTAATATCCACGACGCCTTATATAAATTAATTAAAATTGTCTCTGTGACTTATCAATTAAGCATGAAGACATATGGGGGAGTGGAGGTATAGCTCCACAGTTCTCAACATGAACACTAAATGGAGGTAAGCGGACAGTTTTACTCTCCTTTCGTTACGCCAAAGGAAGTGGTCCCCTGTACCAATGAAGTGACTTTTACGTCTACTAATATTACTGCGGATTTTATTTATAAATAATTAAGTTCAATCACTACGTATAATGATCATTTGTAGCTCATTATGCGATTTACAAGTCAGTAGATCCATTAGAATGAATTATATACATATGAGACATATAATTATTAATATGACGTTTACGCATTTCTTAGGTAGTTGAGGATTTGGAGATTGGAAATACAGACTGACCCAGAAGTCACTTAGCCTTAAATATTCTTTCGTATTAAGAAGAACTTTCAGGTGTAACCCAACCAGTAAACTTGTTGAAGGTAACACAGTGTTTTGAATTGTACATTGGACACGGAGAATCTCATTTCGAACAGATTTTGTTAATTCAGTAAATAATAAAGGAATTTCTAACGTAAGATTTGAATGTTTCGCTGCGAATAATTTTGCTCAAATCTACTCGGACAAACAACTATGTCAGTGTTGAACTAAGCACTGGTACGGCTGGTTGTAGGAGGACAGTTTAACAAATTTGTAAAGTATTTTACTGTAGGTTTTACTAACCACTTAACTTAGTTTTGTGTCACCATATACATACAAATGCTCACTTTGCAGTTACTGGGAAGACAATGCATATTGTATATACCTCTATTAAACTCATAATCACTTGGTTTCTGGACTATGGCCATCGTCCGGTATTCTAAAGCTAGAGAACATAACGTTTCGGAGACTGGATCTGCTTCCGTCCTCAGGTAAACGGAGAGACATCTTTTGTAATGGTTTCCTTAGAAAGAGTAGGTGTCTCCCCCTTTATCTGAGGACGGAAACAGATCCAGTCTCCGAAACGTTGTTCTCTGTAGATCTCAGAATACCACACGATGGCCAAAGTCCAAAACCATAGTAATTCTGAGTGTTATATACCATCGTCAGAACCATTTATAATTAGATATATGTTATAATACAGTAAGAATGCTTCCATTAGAAGCCCTTATTTTTGGCGTATTAAATTCTGTACATCTTGATCTTACGTACCCTGTACATGTAGCTGTCGCGTGACCCAATCTTCGTACGAGTGAAAACGTTGCAAGCAACCAGTAATCACATTACACTAGTGTCTGTTGCTATAGGAGCGTTTCTGAAGCACACACACTTTAAAACACAAGAAACGGTGTATATACTCACACACACTGTAACAATGTAAGTTAAACAAATTCACTACAAATAACATTTTATGAGAAACGTGACCGGTGGCGGGAATTCGCTCCTCCATGCTAACGCCATATGTTCTCGCGATGTTCATTTGTCTGCTTGCAGTCGGATAAATTCGGCAATTATCGCTGACAGGCACAAGGCGAAAGGAGGGGGAATGGAACGACACTGTGACACCTTCCCATGGAGGAATCACAACAGAAGAGGACAAATCATACACTATTCAGAATCATTTTTGACGGGAAAGAACGTACTCATATTTTCACATATGCCAAGAGAGGAGTTCAAATAAGAATAAATTGTGTTGAATTGCAGGTTCTCTCAGCGATTGCTAATAAAAATACTGTTTTTTGAGATGTGGCCCCGTATTGTCTGGTAGATGTTCACGGAAGGAAAATACTGCCTACAGATTAAGATACTTGGCTATCCACTGGGTTCGAGATTACATATGTCCCCGGAATCTGTATAAAATCTACTTACAACAGATTACTTGTCTTTGCTTGAAATCCAGTTACGATTTCTCAGTCGCCCATCTTAGCTACTTCATCCACTGAGTTACTCTGTTTCCTTTATATAATGTAATCGTTGTCCAGGTCGCGCCATAGCTCAAGCGGTTAGTCGCTGGCTTCCCTCCGCGGCGGTCCGGGTTCGATCCAGGGTCTGGTTAAGTGGGATTTGTAGTGGAGAAAGTGGCGCTTGGGCGGCTTTTATCCAAGTACTTCGGTTTCCCCTGCCAGTCTTCATTCCACCAAATTCCCCAATATCATAAACACCCGGGGCAGGTACAATAAGCCAATCAGTGGCCGCCGTGCCGAGTGGACCCAGTTGGACTCCACCCCCACTAAGCGAATCTTCGTCTATATTTTCATGTTTTTCTTTTCAATTTCTAGATTTCTCTCGAAGCCGGATGTAACAGACTGCGTGGATGTCTGTGTAGCCTTTTGTTTGCAAGTATATGTGGCTCATCAAAATATATCCCAGACTGATGGAATTATGAAGACAAGGCATGGTCGTGGGTTTCAGGATCCGGAGAGCTCCCATAAAAAGGGGCGCGTTTAGGGTTGGAAGCAGGAAGTGAAGTTACGTAGTAAAACCTAATCGATTATAATTCTAAAAATGCCAGGAACTTATTGCTCAATTTTGCATTGGTAAGATTTTTTATATATATTCTATTTTTGTTGCTCCCACTTGGAGCACAGGACATTCGTGAAACGCTTTGTTTCATTTCAGTTTCTTAATCGTAGACAGTTGATAGCATTTCTTTGATGGGAGATCAGCCCGCCGCAAGGCCGCTACGTAACAAAAACAGACATCCATGCCTTGAGTAGGATTCAAACCCACGATCCAAATGTTCGAGCGGACGAAGACATTTTAAACCTTATAGGGCGCGAACACTGTGATCAGCGATAAATATTATTAATTGATGACAGTAAAAAATGTGTTGGTTTTAATAATTAAAAACCGGAAAGCTGTTCTTGATACACCTTGTGTGTGATTAGTTTGCCAAGCTGAGAGGGCGTCGTTGCATGAAGTTCCTAAGCAAGTGGAGTACGGCAACTTACTGAGTCTTTCATTATGCAGAGCTGAAAAACTGAATGATAGATTAATAGCTTATTATAAAGGCTGTAGAAATAAGAACTGATAGCTTCATAGAACCTGAGCTACTCAAAACCTTAGTCATGAAGCTTTCTCTTTTCTGTAGTCCGTTGGAAATCAACCGACATTTCGAAGAGACATATTACCCTCATCTTCAGGGTCAAATTATAAGCCGAGCACGAAACCAGCATGAAATCAAGTGGCAAACAGAACCTATAGCTTGCTTTCCTTAATCTTCGAACCTGAAGATGGAAACAAAATATCTCTCCCAAAAGTCTGTTGACTTTTAACGGATTACATGACTTTATATCGCAGTACATTCTTCAATTATATTTATATTTTATTTACTATTCCACCCTTTTTTTTTTTATCAGACTAATGCAACACATGAACAAATTTATACAGATATCAGAGCTAGACTCGAACCGAGAACCCCCCAAATATAAGTTAGAAGCGTTACTTCTCACACCACCTTCTTAGAGCATTCGCTTCGAACAGAGCTTTGTCAATACAATAACGTTAAATATATACACTGGGGAATACATCTTAAAGAAAGAGGCGGTTGATGGATTAAGATGGCTCAGGATAGGGACCAGTGACGGACCTTTATAAAAACTGTAATTAACACCCGTGTTCCATAAAGTAACTTGTCATGAATTGCTTCACTAGCTGAGAGACTCTCAGCTTCTCAAATAGGACTCTTCTCCATATTAACTTACTAAATTATTTCACTCTCCATCTTCTAAGATGCGTCATCTTCTGTATCATCAGCTCCTTGCAACTCAGTCATTGTAGCGACCGGAGAATAGGTGTTCGATTCCCTGGAGAGAGAGATGTTTTTCTCTTCTCTACAGCTTCCAGACGGGTCACTGTGTCCCAACCAGCCTCTTATGCAATCAATAATGGGTTTTTCTCATGAGGTTAAATCGGATGGAGCGTCACACTCACCATTTGCATCCATCTAGTGCTAAAATTAAGAATACATGAAACTGTGACTTCAATTTCTACAGGTCTTCATAGCGTGAGCAGCAATATCCATAAAATATATCTCAAATTTAAAACAGATTCACAATACCTCTCTATGAACAGGAAAGCTAAGGAATTATATATTCATTGGGGGTCTCTTTATAGACGTTCCTAGAAATGTCTTAGTTAAATGTATTCAGCTAGCGAGGTGCCACGCAATATGTAGCAAACAAGGCTGTTAACAATGTCTCTTTTTAGCTATCTCTCGTTTCCGGAAATAAAGTGGATTTTGCTTCAAGGCGAGGCGAATCAGCCAGTTCCTTAGAAATCTGTCTTGAAAGGAATCCCAGAATCTGTGAAGGCGTCCTCTCTCCTGTTACTCCACGTGAGTCCTAGACAAGGTAGAAAACTACGGGTATCTACGGCATTTTTACACAGCTACAAAGGCAATTCGCAGAAGAAAAGTTGCACACATTAAAGATAACAAATTTATGTGTTTGAATTCGGGTTTTCACATCGGACATTATCCACTGAGTTATAATGCCGTGTGGTGCGGAGAGATCCCGACGTTTCGGAGGAACATTTAGCCTCCATTTTCAGGGTAGAAGAGAAAGCCAAGCAAGAAACAAAAAGCTGAGCTGGCCGTCTGCCCCTGCTGATTTTTTTACTCCCACTATTCTTCGAAACTTATTTCGAAAATTCGGATTTTTTTTTTTCAGAATTACGCGGCGGTATAACACGGGAAACCTTACTGTACAAAAAGGGGTGTGTCTTCAAAGTGTTGTACTCACTCAGCCAACCAAGAAACCATAAGAATTGATGCTGAGCATTGTCCGTTTTTCAGGTATATTTAAAAACTTACAATATTTCAGAAATAGAATGACTCTCCGTTGTCAGGGGTAAAGAGGGGAGTATCCAAGTCAGTCGAACCCGTTGGGAGGATGTAATCTTGATCAGTGGATCCTTCATATTGGCCCAACTCAACATGACCTTCCCCGTATTATTCCTAATGAAGGAAAATTAAACCATTTTTAAACCTTGTGTATCCTAAATATGCCCCAGTTGACAATGTCCAACGCAATAGTCATGTCATGAACAGACTTCTGAAGCTACACAGCATCGGACGACCGGGTGATAAGTCAGGCCAGCTGAGTCGCTATAGTGACGGGCTACGGACTAGAAGGGGTGGGGGTTGATTTCCGGACAGGGAAATGTGTTTTTTCTCTGCTCCACTGCGCCATACCAGCTCTGGGGCTCACTCAGTCTTATACCCAGTGGGTACTGGGGCCTGTTCCCCCGCGCTAAAGCATCTGAGGTTTACCACTCACCTCCATCTAGTACCGAGGTCAAGAATGCTGGAGCTTTACCCCCACTTCACGTTACGTCTTAATGACTTGGTGCTTAGTCAATTGAGAATAGGGACAACTTTATATTTGACTTGATGACAGATCAATGATATAGTGGGAGGGATTTGGAAGAAGAGGCCGTGGTCTAACCGCGGTACTGTCCCAGTATTTGCCTGGAAGGACTAAGAAAAACAGCGAAAGACATTGGTCAGGATAGCCAGCCGAGATTCGAACACATCACCTCCCGTATATGAGGCTAGATCGTTACCTCTAACCGAACCCGCTCTATAACGCAGTGACGTCACGAAACGTTTAAACGTTTACAATAGTTAGCCCACGGATTGACCTGAAAAGATCATCAAGCGTCCTTACTTTGTCACGGCGTCTGCACCCCTCCCCCCATTATCCCTTGGGTGCAAGACAGCACGGCAAGCCAATTGCTTGACCTCGCATCGGAATCTGTCCCCCAGATAAATCGGACGGAGTTTAACCCTCTGTAACATGAACAGAGACAAACTCGGGCTAATACACTAAGCCACCAACCGGTACGTCAGATTCGTACATGGAAGTTACACAGTTCCTCAGCAGTGCTCACTGGCCTGTGTGTACATAAAAACGATATGTTAATTTTCGTTTGTTTTTTGTTTTTTAATTCCTTTGGTTGGGGTGAGACTGAGTCCTTTTGGTACGCAGGCCACTACTTGACATATTGTACTAGTCCCAGTTGATGTAATATGATGAGTATGGAGTAGTAGGTGGAATGAGAAATGGCAGGGGAAACGGAAGTACTCGCAGAATACTGTAAGTTGTAAAGCCGTTGCTACGCAACGACGAGATGAGCGTATATAACAGGGCCGTTTCTGAGCAGTGGCTCGATAAATACGTTCCCGCAGCAACAGACATGAACGTAATAATGGCACAACAATATAAGAGATCTGTTTTCTATGTGATTTATGCAGAACTAGGGTCAAGTTTAGAGCTTAGTTAGTTCTGTACTGGAATCTGTGAAGAGATGATTTGAACCTGGAGGCAGAAGAATATCCATTGTCGGAGCCGTTACCAGGAAAGGCCTAGTAACAGACTGCGAACACCAGACAGTGTGCTCTAGTAAACTGTAAAGTGTGGAAATATCCATAGTGTCATTGTTATTTGTA